ATTTAACAAAAACCCAAGAAATCAGAACATTCAAGTTAAATCAGAACATTCAAGGCAAATTAACACAAACACAAATCACTTAATCTTATACTCTGCATCTATTTAATCAACTATTTAAATCTAGCTTCATTGACCAATCAAATGCACACACAACCAAATAAAAGTCACGATCCCAAGCTAAGCCAAAAAAGTCACGATCACGAATTTGTTCAATTAAAAAACTAGGAACAATCTTGAGAGTGAGAGAGAGGATGGACCTGTGATTATCAAATTTGGTTGCCTGCGAAATATCTCAGAAACAATCGGCCATGATAAGATTATCTGAATTTTTTTTTTTATTCTGTTGAGTCTGAGCAAAACGGCGTTGGTTTAGCAAAAATAAAACCCAAAAAACTAAAACGACGTCGTTTGGATTTATAGTTTATAAAAAAATAATAATAAACGGGTCTAATAGGATCCCTATTTATATGAATAAAGAACCCGTTTAATAAATGAGTTTTAACAGGGTACCCATTTAAACCCATTAAACTCAAATCTTATAAATGGGTCTAAATGGGCATTTATTCATATACTAAACACCCATTAAAAACCCGCGAAACAATGTTTTATTTTGCCACGAGCCATGCATAGCGAAAAAATGTTTTATTTTATGTAGTTGTCTAAGTGAATAGATCTTAAAACCGAAAAAAGTGAATTGATAACATATTAACATCTTGAACTCAAGCAATAAACATTATCTTTACAATGTAAAGTTGAGTGGAATGAAGCAAAACGCTCTATCAATTTGGTGAAAAAAATCCTCATAGTCATTAAGAAAGAAAAAATGAAAAAAAAGATCATTTATTTGGAATACAAATTCTAAATGGTTTACGAAAAATGGAAGTATATTTAATATACTAAGATGGAGTAAAAGTCCTAAACTCTTCCACATAACTTCTTCTCTCTCGACCCAAATGCTTCGTACAACAAGCGGTCATAAACACTTGTTTGTTAATAAATGATTGATTCTTGGATAATAATAAATCTAACCGTTATGTAGTTTCTGAGTTTCTTTTAATCTATTATTTAGTAGATTTGTTAATAAATGACTGAGTCTTGGGTAATAATAAATTTAACGTTTATGCAGTTTTTGAGCTTCTTTTAATCTAGTATTTAGTAGGTTTGTTAATAAATGACTGATTCTTGGATAATAATAAATCTAATCGCTATGCAGTTTAGCTTCTTTTAATCTAGTATTTAGTAGGTAAATAAGTAAACTTGTGTTTGATTCACAAGTAGGTGTATTTAATCGTATGAGGAAAAGTTGTATGCCAAGCTACAGTATCAAGGAAATCATGATCCGTCTCTTTTAGCCTCCTAGGCTGACCGATGACGAAAGACAAGTATCAGTAAGGGCAGATTCAAGTCTCCCTATGATTTGAACAGCATGATAATGTGTAGGTTCGATGATGATGTTCTGATTCTTTCACAATGAATAATATCATAAGACATTTATACTAGCTTAGTTAATCTGATATTTAGTAAACAAGTGTCATTTGATGTGATTCGTTTGTGTCATATGTTGGGATCAATGGCTAGACGCAATCCTTCTCCACTTCCACCGTTTTCAGAGCCCGTCTACCCTCTTCCCCCCCATTTGTGCGACCGAAAAGTTCAATTGGGATGAAGACCGCGTGATACTCGTATATCACTGCAGCTGCAGCAGCTCGTTCCACCTCTGACTTTATCGGAGAGGAGTCTTTGCATTTGTTCCTTTCTCAGAGCCGGTTTCCTCAGCTAGACATTTCGTGGAGAACATTTTCCGATCATCCGTACCCGTTGTCCTTGTGGTGTTCGTGTAGACCATTTTCGTCGCGTTGGTTAGTTTCTCCGCCGTTGAATGTTATGCCTTTTGGTTATTGTTTTTGATGACTTATGCTTTTAAAAACGTTTTTAAAATGACTTGTGCTTTAAGAATATTTTTTCCGATTTCTTTCATAATCTAAAGTTTACTCCTTAAAGTTTTAGGAATACGAGACATATAATCTTAAAATAAAAGTGCTAGTATGCCACAAATTCATGGATACAAAAACTATTTTTTGTTTTGTTAAGCAATATAGACGACAATACTAATACATTTTACAACTCATAGAGGAAACAATCGATTTTTAAAAACGAAGCAAATGTTATATTTTCACTACTATGGTAAGTACCAAAATCTACAATTCAAATACTCTTCTCTTATATC